GTTTTAGATATTTGATTAAAAAAAAGAGATTATACTCATATTATATATATATATATATATATATATATATTCAACTATTTTCACAATCAATTATAACTGTTTCAAATGAATCATTCTTCAAAATGTTTTGCCATTATTATATTAGTTGATCAATTTAATAGATATTAATATAAGATTATTCTTCCAATCTTAAATTATTTTATTAATCAGATAACTATGAAAAAACATAGAACTCCAAACAGTTGGATTTTTTTCTATTGATTTATAGCAAATTAATGAACATTTTAATTCTTTTAATTGAAGCAAACATGACATCAAATTTTTTGTGTCATAATAAGAAATAGAGTTAATTAATCAAATTGTATGGTTCACCTTTCTGTTTAGGAGGTGAATTAAGGCCTCGTTTGGTTGGTCGATGTAAAGCGGTTGTGGAGAGAATGGAGTTTCAGAAATAACGTTCTATATAATTGAATTATTACATAATATTGTTTTGTTAAATTGCTTTTTATATGCTTATTCAAACTTTAAAATAGATAATTAGTATTTTTGGTATGATTAACAATTTCAGTTTTTTCATCATAAATTATGAAACTACCCATATATTAAACACAAATTTACAAAAAAAAATTTACTACTTACATAAATGAAAATATACATAAAATTTAAATAAAGTATTTTTTTATTATCTTAAATTTTGACAATGAGGGCAAAAGGATGAGGGCAAGAGGAGACTGAGGAGTGACCAAGTCTCCTGGATGTAGAGCAGTTCTATTTCCTTATGGTTTCAAAGTTCTCTCCTATCTTATGGAAGATGGGAACAATCATTTCGAAGATGGGAACAATCGTTTCAATCCTCCTTGGTGCAGGTGGAATTCATGCTGTTATTAACGGTCGTGAGTTTCAATCTATTTAAAGGTAACAGCAGTGTCTGATGAGGGCCCAATCAACATGGAATTTGAAGGAAAATTATGGAAGCAATCTTATTTTTAGTATAAAGAAAAAACGAAATGCATGGATCCAAAAGAAGTCTGCATTCCGATATGCTTGTAACTACGAAGAATTTTAGTAATCATAACTTATATCTTGTCAACAATCAATCCATTGGCATCAATAAAAATAAAACTTATGAATGTTCAAGTTTAATTTTACCAAATACTACAGAATGCAACAACCACATATTACAGGGATATGAGTACAAAGGCATAACGAGATCTAAATAAGCAAAGTAAAAGTACATGAAAATTACATCTACCAAACAACAAAACTAAACTATTGTCCTCTCATGCTTTACTTCGGAGTAAGTCATATTTGTTGAAACTCAATTTTCATCAAGGAAACCTGAAATAAAATAAGAATATATTATAAGTATATCATCAATCATTTACAATTGTATTTATACTAGCTTTATAAATAATTATTTATTGTATATTTATATATATAAAACTTTAAGGTAAATGTACTACCTATTATAAGTGTATAATTGCATTGCAATAGTCTCTCTAACTTCAGCCATATCGTTCGCACCTTCACCATCAAGCAACTCCACAGAACAATTCGTACTTCCTAAGGTTTAAACTTCTTCTTCAACTTGTAACTCATGTGCCTCCGGATGAACAAAATTTTCATCGGCATCACATTCCTCGAATTCTGGATCAATCCTTGAATTATGTCTTCTTATGTAGTTATGTAGTGTCATTGTAGCCTCTACAATAAGCCATTGTTTTTTGAAAGAATAGTTCGGCATATCTCAGAGAATTCTTCATTTCTTTTTACATACACCAAATGCCCTTTCTATTACACTTCTTAACGAGGAATGCCTCCTATTAAAAACCTCCTGATGGCCTGTAGTAGTTCGAATTCCTCGTCGGAAATCTGGTATATGATATCGCGTCTCTAGATATGGCTTAAGAAAACCTCGTTGTAGTGGGTATCCAACGTCAACTAAATAAAATTACCTGTTAAAAAAAATGTTAATTTTCTCATTATCTTTAATATAAAATAGGATTACTAAAATCATTAATTAATAATTAAATATTACCTGATGGCAGTATAGGAAAACTGTATAGCGGACTCCTTAGAATATGTTTAAAGATATAAGCATCATGAGCTGAATCTTCCCATCCTGCTGCCACAAATGTAAAGCACATATTAAAATCACAGACTACCATCACATTTTGTGTAGGTGAATGATGTCGCCCTATATACGGAATTTGATCTTCAACAGGAATACGAGCATCTACATAAGTTCCATCAATTGCCCCAATGCAATCTTAAAATATGGCATGTACCTAGTATCGTTTCTAATATGTACAGGGATGTCAAAACTCTCATTATCCTCCGACATTGTGTATCTGAAAAAAATAAATAAATATTATAAGTTGTCCAACAAATGTTTGCATTGATCAATAAATTCAAAGTAAACTGGTCTGAATATTGAAAAGCATATTACAAGTGAGCAAGTTGATAAGCAGCAGATATTGAGGAAGATTAAACAAGTTTTACATTAGGCAATCATGAACTTCAACAGGTTGTCGTTAGCCATCAAGAAAATAAAGAACAAATGCTAAATCATCACCTTCTTTGCATGTTATTTACATTAATACTTCCTTGGAGACGAAAGCTTATGGACATGAGATGGTGCCTACAATTATCTGCACTTCATCTAACGTAGTGCAAACTATCCTTGAGATAAGTAACCTGAGAGATCATCTTATAGCATACTACTATGTTGACTTTAATATACTTATGATTGTTTCATATACTGAAATCCTTAGCTCTTCTTTCAGGCCTTTGCACAGGTGCCCAATTTTAATATCTGGTATGGTCCAGATTCTTATATGGGTGAGAACATCACAGAATTGTTCAACAATATGGCTGGCATGACTGATGAGGAGATTGCTGAGATACACCCAGAACATAATAGGAATACAATAAAATCTTTATTACATCAACTACAACAAATAATAAGATAAGTGCGACCAGCTAGTTGGTGTACTACTTGAAACAGATAAGGGAATTAAGTTTTTATACTTTATGGCTTTTATTCTACTGCTTGAAACAGATATATAAAGCCTAAGATGACTAAATTAAAACAGGTTAGAGAGGAGTTATGCATTCTTTATGTTTAGATGATTTTTTTAATAAATCATAATTACAGAGTTAGCCGCTATTAGTGCATCTTTTTTACATACAGTTCCATTTGATTGGATGACCAATCTATGGTGACACAGTGAATTCATGCTCTTTAATTAATAGATGTCTGATTAGGGATTCTCTGAAGCCAATAATCACTCTAGGTAGTAAGCATATACCACATCATAATAGTAAATATGTTCATTAAACACAGTTGCCAATAAGAACTCAGAATTTACAGTAAACTTTAACTTCACGAAACAAACCTTTAATAAGCATATATTCACTGATTACAATACTTGTTGTGATTAAACACACATTTTGTCCATATATAAAAACAAATACACACAATTCTTTGAACAATCTAAAAAAAGTAGTAAACAAAAAAAATTTATCAACAAATTGTGATCTACAATAATGATGTGAAACTCCTGTGATATCGTCTTTTTAAATACCAAACTTTTCTATCAGTTGGAAGTCCCATGAAAGCCTCCCTTTGATTCTAATCTAGTATATACAAAACAACAAAGTCATAAAACTCTGGATCGTCAAATATCTCAGGTACTTTAGAAATTTCTTCTAATGCATCTGCAATTGTTACACATTTCTTTGAAGCAGTTGATGATGATAGCGCATAACTAATAGATTTAGCAGCGCTTACGAGCTCCTCAATATGATCAATGAACATTTGTCTTCCACCTGATTTGGTTGTTCTAATTCTTTTTCTTTTATGTGATCTTTGTGAATCACCTATAATAGGATCATCATGGTTGTCCGTATGTATTGTATTTGCCTCATCATCTTGTTGTTCATCTTCAGAAGATGCAACTTCTTCTACATCTTTGAGTTCAGGAGGCAATACACCTGAGTTTGGGACCCATAAATCAGCACCAATAGCAACAACGCTACCAAACAAAATATTTAATTTTTCCTCAAGTTCTAGCATAATTCCATTATAGCGAAACTTCTTCGCTGAAGGAAAAACCTATAATATAGGAAAACAAGTTGATTGGTAAGTGCATTATATTTTTTTGAATAATATAACTTAGCATAAATATATATGTTAATATACCTGTAATTTCTCGGTCCACCACTCATTCGAAGCATCAATTATTTTCTTCACAGGGTTCTATCCTATTCCAGTTTTACTGCACATTAAATCTTTCCAAAGCTTCCACTCCTTGAACTGATCCCATTTATTTTTTAGTTGGGTGCGATCATAGGTTCGACCTGTGCGCTCATTAAAATTATTTGTTAAGTTTCGCCACCCTTCCTTACTAAAGTGAGTAGTTGGTCTGTTTCTCAATTCTATCTCCTTAATACATATGTCACAGTAGATTAAAGTTGTTTCCATTTCCCATGTTGCTGGGACACCTCCTTCTTTCTGCTTTCCCATTTTTTTGATAGGCGGACTATATATTAGTAAGTTAGTAAAGTGTGTTATAATATACTTGTAATTATTACTAACATGGTGTGCATGCATGTATTCGTTTACACCCAAAATTTCACAAGTGCTGCTTAAAATAATTGTATTTAGCAATTGTAAGAAAATATAATAATGAGATGAAAACATTTATGTGACTGCAAAAATGAATTCAAATAAAATTAATGCCCTATAATCAAAGGTGTATCCTTTTTATGATATTAAAGTAAACCATTATAACTACGGTTAAGAAATAGGATAAATCAGTAAACTAAATCATATATTTGGTTAAGAATGAAATATATGAGGTTTAGTCAAACAATTGCCCTGTTCTCTTCTACTGAAATAGGAGCCTATTTCAGAACATATACTTCTGTTAAAAAATAGTTGATTTCGTATGGATAAATTCGAAGATATGATATCTAATTTAAGGAATAGATATTCTAGTCATGGTGATGGGATGAATAATTTAGTTATGAAGCTTTTGCTTAGTAGGAGGAGGTCTAAAGTAAATATATATGAGGTTTAGTCAAACTGAAGAAAGCTTACGACCAAATTTTTTTTTTCCGAACTTACATGCTGTCTCTTATAAATGAATAGCTTCATACTTTACAAACAATTAAAGGTTTCGTAGTTGTAAATTTTAGAAACATATTGGTTGGATATTTACTTGAATTCCTTTAGATTACTGAGCAAGCTTCCTACTGAGATAGATTCCAATATGCTACTGAAGAAGGTTACAATAATAAGTTGATGCTATATTTTTGTGTCATTGTTAACTAATCATGCTTTTCTAGAAGAATTTTGATAAATTTGTATGTTTTTTCTTGTAGATGATGGATAAAATACCTCTCAAACAAATTCCTGGTCCAGATCCAAATTACAGAGAAATATGTTTCTCTAGCGCCGGAAGGTTGTACCTACAAATTAAAAAATTTTATTCTATAAGAATAGTTATTCTCTATTTTTAAATTAACATTAATTAGAATGTGTGATACTGTGATTGTATAGTGATGTTTTCCAACTCTCAAAGTTTTTCGCTGAAGTGGACATGCTCTTTGCGATGAACAAATATTAAAACTGAAGAAAGCTTCCGACCAAATTGCATTTAGTTATGCTACTAGATGGCAGAGGTATTTGCTCAAACTGCTTAAAAATCTCATAAACCTTCCGACCAAAATTTTTTTCAATAGTAATCTTACTGTAGGTGAAGCTATGAGCAGACAACAAATAGAAAGAATAAGGAGGTGAACTCAACAGCCACGGACTTCCTCGACTTGTCTGATTCCGCCAAAGGGGAAAAACGTCACTGAAAGAGGCCGAAGTTGAGGCTAGGGCAAGGAGATCAGAGCTCTTACGTGCAAATGGCGGTCGGTTCGTAAAAGTATCAGCTAGGGCTCTTCAATCGGGAGGCTATGCAATGGCAGGAGTCGGCGGTGGAACCCGGTGTGGGTGATTTGTGTCCGCGCGAATGGGATGCGATGTTGAGCTCTCGTTGAAGGCGTAGTGGCCGTTAATGGGATGCGAATTTGTTCAGGAGGAATTGTAGTGGCGAAGAAGAAGATACGTGCGAGGGTGAAATAGAGAAAATAGGAGAGGATATCGCAGACCGCTCTGGAGAAATTAATCTGTACGCAGTCCGAACGCAGGATAGATTCGGATGCGCAGGATAGATTCGGATGCGCATGATGTTGCTTATTTACGTATTTTTTTTATTTAATTTTTTCTACATATTTTTTACATATTTATTGTATATTTAGTGAGTATTATTTATTTGTTATTTTTTGGCACAAAAAAAATTTGTATAAAAAAATACGCAACAAATAAACAGTAAATAAGCAGCATCCGAATGCGTTCAGATTACGTACAGAATAATTTCTCCTGAAAAAGGCGCTCAGTTATAGTTTTCACGTTTTGACCTAAAACAACGGTTTTGAGAACGTGTGAAGGGAAAGCAGTTTTATCAAACAAGAAATAAAACTAAATTTTGTCGTTTTAAAAATGAACAAGTAATAAGATCGGACAAACAAATGAAGCCTAAGTATTTTAAAAAAGCTAAATGAGTGTGTTAAAAGGGTTATTTTGGGCTCCAAGCAAATCTTAGAGAGAGATTTTTATATCTCATCATTCATGTATGACACATCATCTAAGAAAATATGCTTTTACTCCCTTGTGAGAATTATAGTTGATTGTTTTATATTAAGTAGCTAGAATCCTTGCAAGAGTAATGTCACCATCTTATGCTAAAGCAACTCTGAATTTTCCTTAGGAGTTTATGGGTTGGGTGTAATTGTTCGGATGAGTTAGGCTTTGGGCGACTGACCCTATCTTTCTTATGATAGAGTGGGCCTCTAGCATACTCTATGTGGTTCTATCGAGTTAGCAAGTTGAAGAGCTCTTAGTCTTTGTCAAGTTAAGGACTCCATGACCCTTGGCGAGTTGAGGAGTCTACGACCTTTGCAAGTTGGAGAGCTAAAGCAAGCTAGTCCTGCTATGAGGCCTTGAACCCAACCAGCTTGACTTTAATCAAACTTGTGGGGCATGTATGGGTGTATGTTTAGTTCTCTAATTCTTTAGCATCTTTTGAAAGGCAACTATAAAAAGAGCAAGATAATGAAAAATGTATATTTCCACTAAGTCAACGATTTGACCTGAATCAATCATTAATTAATGGGTTTTGAAAAAAAAAAATCTATAAATAACTTCCTATGCCTTCCTTAAATGCCATTCAATTTGAATTTCTTCCTTCTTCATTTAGCTTAGCACACTTCATTTGTGAAGCTATTTATTGATTTGACTCATCATCACTTAGAAAACACAACTCTTCTTCTGAGTTATTATCTATCTGTAGCTCCATCAAATACGACTTAGATATTATTTTATTAGCATACCCATTTTTCACTGATCTAATATTTTCAGGACATATTGCCACTCGATTCCTATCATGATCTTTAAAAGGAGTTCTTTGGCATGCATTTGATGATATTGAGATAACTTGACATGTTTCTATATGGAGTGATTATTCATCTTTTTGTTCATCATTGTCCACTTTCAATTGATCTATTTAAAGCTCAGACATAAAATATATAAGTGCTATAGGTTGTCTCAATGGTTAATGATAATCCTCTAAATTATTAATGATTTTTTGAAGTACAATCCTCTTCTTTTTTAGCTAGTTATGCTTATTTGAGCTACCAGACTTTTTGGAGGATATCTTATATAAATGTTTCTTATTTTGGGATGTACTAACCATATTAAAACATTTTCAAGTTAATGACTTGAAAGTGGATGCACCTGAATTTGGATTTTCTTTCAATTCAAGCATTGGTTTCATAAAGGATTTCCATTTCATTACAGAGATTCATTCTAATTGTTTGATCATCTTCATTATTTTCTTTGAGATTATAATATGATATTCTTCTTTTTCATGCATCATTTATTATTTTATTTTATCTCCCTTTTTAGTTGTTATTAAGAGAGATGACATAACCATTTTTACATATTCCTTTTTTGGATGAACTAAAATGCTATTTGATAGTGTGAATTTACCATCTATATATTTCTTTTCAGTCAGTCTTTGGAGACATAACAATCTTCAATAGGGTGACTGATAACTCGATGACATGTGTAATAATTTAGATTATCGCTCTAATTAACTTTTTCAGGTCTTTTACTCTTCGATAATTCAATAACATCACTAAGTGCTTGTTTTAATAGTTTTGTCATACTTTTCCTTTTAAAAGAATAATCTCTATTCATTTTCTCGTTAAGGGATATGATTTAATTACTGATTCCTTGCTTTACACGCTCTCCTACATTACAAAAAATCTGAGACTTGTCAATTCCTCCCAACAATAATTTTGGTTGAGATTTAGGATTGAAAACTTACTTTCCTTTATCATCTTTGGAAACATATTATTTTTCTTTATCAATTCTCAAAGATGATGTAGAATATATTTCATCTCTTCTAATGTCTAGATCTTTACTCCTTTTAAATGTATCTAAATAATTTTTAGAGTTGGACAAATTTAGTTTTTCAAACTTTGTCATTCTATCCAACATCTCCTGAAAAGTGGTGATTGAGGCCAAGCATAAAAATGGTAATATCTTATCATCGAGATTTTCTATTATCAATTGAATGGTGTGCTCCTCTTCCAATTGTTGTTGCACACCTCTTCCAATTAATGTTCGCATTTCATACTCACATTACGACAATAAGTTATTTATTTTGTCACTGACTCACACTTTTTTCATTTTTATAAGACAATGTCAGTGATGATAATCTTTTCAGTAACACTAGAGAATCTTTTTATGAACATATTTTTCAATTTTATAAATTTCTTAACATAATCATAGGAAAGTTTAGTGTACCATTCAAAAATAGTTGCTGTCAAACTATAAATGAATTGATGAAAAAGTAAAGCATCAACATCTCAAGTATTTCCAGGTGTTGGTTTAAATTGAGCCAGGTGTTGCTTAGTATTACCGTTGTTATTAAAAAATATTAAATTTTGGCACAGAGTAACCTTACGAATATGGCACCTGGTCATACTCGAATGGGT